TAGGAGTCCCTCGGCTAACTGGCCATGATACTGGCGGATATAAATTGGCAACTTGTGGCTGTAAGCCACAGTTGTAAAGTCTCCCAATTCCTTGAAAAATTACATTGTAACTTTGTTCAGTATATTGAGTTAATAAAATATTCGTAACCTGTGGATGCAAGGATTTTTCCAAAACTTGCTGCAGAACGCCGTTTGGTGCGATTTCAATGGTCACAGCGTTACTTGGAATTAAATGCTTTGCTTGATCAAAGAGAACAGTGTTTAATATACTACCCGTATGATAGTCCGCGGATGATAATTTTGATGCTGAAGTGTGCCATTCGGTACGGGGTACGGAAGTGCTGATCCACTTTGGACTTCGTTTTTTCGGACGTGGTATTATTTTGTTCAAATCAGACAAAAGCTGAGGTTCCACAGATGCGAGATAAGAACTATGATACGGCACGTTACAGTGAATCTCTTTTACACAAATTGTATTAACCTGATAATTAAAAAATACAAATTTTACTCGTGCAGATGTGAAAAATTTATAACTGCATTTAGCTTGACTTTAATAATTCTATATTTTTTAAATTATTATATCGAAAATTTTTCTATTTATTTCTTAAAATCTGCCATAGTTATTCATTTCTACCTGCAATTTTTTTATAAAAGCTTGCACGGATTTTGTTGGACCACTAACAATGCTGCTGTTCTCGCTATTGCGACATACTATTTCAATATCCTCTGGACATATATTTTTAAGACACTTGTAATCAAAACTGATAATTGCCATCGAGCTACGAATTAATTTTCCTTTGACACACGCTAAACCAATAAAGTATGCTGATATAATAGTTTGTTCAATGGTAAGACAGTCATCTGCGTATGCGCAGCCGAGTTCACTAGCAGAATGACTAATCATGTAATTCGGAGTAATTCCTAAAGATCTTAAGAGATCTACTAAACCAATCTACAAATATACAATATTAATATTAGCTGAAAACATTTTAAAAATTTATTATTGATAAAATAATAAAATATAAAAGTAAAAAATAAATTTAAGAAAAATTAAAAGATAAATCCAGTAAAAAGCTAATTCTTCTTGTAGAATAACGACTTGGAAAATTTATCGTGTATATTTACTAATAAAAATACTTAATTTTTAATGTATAGCTTTAAAATATATTATTTCACCTGAATAGCGACAATTCCCAGAAACGCGCATAACGCATCTTCGTACACATTTTGTTCTGCATTTGTCAAAATGTTTGTGATACTTATATTATATGGTTTTAAAACAGCATCGCACATTCTTATTGTATTTGCAAATACTTGGAATTTTAATAAATTTTGACCTGATTTTAATTTAAAACTGATATTAATTAATTATTTAGTACTACTATAAATAAATTAGTATATATTATTAAAATTTATACCCATTCCGGGCCATTGCGACCCTAAGGCTGAAAATATAAAGCAAACAGGTCTTTTCACAATATTACAATTTTTAATTTCTTGTATTGATTCTTGCTGCGAAGTATTTAATATAATATATCCTCTCCATGTATGACCGTCTATATTGTCTGAGTGAATATCGTGTAGTAAACGGATATATTCTACATCTATCTGATAATTAGCAATCTACAATTATAAATTTTTTAAGAAATAGAACATGATTGTTCAAAATCATGCCAAATAGTTCTTACAATATGTACTAACGTCATTTAAGAACAATTTCACTGATTCTTCAGTGCGTCCAGACAATATTACAAGTCTTGGCAATTCATCATTTGGCACGCTATTATTAACCTTCTGTTTCAAATTCCACTTTAACAGCATATGAGCGTTGGCGCCCCCAATACCAAAAGAACTGATACCTATGTAACCATTTTTAAGTGGCAGTGGTTCTTGTACGACACGAACAGTTCCGTTTATCAAGGCTTCTATATCATTTCGTGGAGATGTATAATTGATATTTGGTGGAACAAAACCAGTTTCAAATCCTATTATTACCTTCAAAAATTAATAACAATTTTTATTATAATGACCTATGGAAAAAAGTCTGGGATCCAATGTTATAGCTCTTCTATTTATCATAAAATAG